ATGTATGTGTGTGTGTGTGTGTGTGTGTGTGTGTTGGAGCCTAAATGCAGTTTATAATGGTTAACAACTGTAACTATATAGTTTGAGTTCATAGGTGATACATTGAGATTCATTTAAAATTATAGATATGTGTGGTATTTAGTTTATTTTGGTAAAGATAAAAAGATTAAAATGTAAGATTTATTGGAGATTTTGTGTTATATAATTTTCCAGCAGCAGTGTAAAATTACATCCCACCACCGCTGTATCATCTGCAAACTTTACAATGTGACAGCCTGGATGGGTAGCTGCACAATCATACGTGAGCAGAGTAAACACGAGGGGGCTCAACACACATCCCTGAGGAGAGCCAGTGCTCAGGGTTATGGTGGAGAAGTTGTGGATCCTCACTGACTGCGGTCTGTTTAAGAAGTCTAGTACCCAACTGCAAATGGAGGGGCTTAGTCCTAGTGTGAATAGTTGTCCATCAGGGTTTGGGGGATCATGGTGTTGAAGGCAGGTATGAAGTCCACAAAGAGCATACGGACGTAAGAGTTTTTCTGCTCCAGGTGGTTGAGCGCAGTGTGGACCACAGAGGAGATGGCATCCTCCGTTGATCGGTTCTCGCAGTTTGCATACTGATGAGGGTCTGCATTCACACTGCACTTTCAGAGGAAAAGTCATTTCTCTAGTTGCATCTGATGTTAAACCGCAGCTGGTACTCAAATATTTAAAGCTTGAAGTCAGGAGAAACTTCCAAACTATAAAATACAAATTCATGTATTGTCAGATTTTAATTATTAACAGAAATCCTCCATTTGTGTGAGAATGATGAATCTGCAAAGCCTGCTCTTCTTGTAATCTAAAAACTCCTGCATCACTTCTAGGTGACCCATTTATAGTTTTAAATGTTCAGCTCAACAGGCCCTTCACTGACTGTTGGTATAATCCCAGTCCTGGCGTAAAGTTTGATCGTTGTCCATCCATTCTTTACCCGCTTCTTCCTTTTTGGGTCACCGGTGCCAATGTCCAGCATTCGCTGTGCGAGAGGCAGGGGACACCCTGGACAGGTCTCCAGTCCATCACAGGAACACCTGGACAGGTCTCCAGTCCATCACAGGAACACATAGAGACAAACAACCATTCACTCTCTCTCACCTAGGGACAATTTAGTCACCAATCAGCCTAACATGCATGTTTTTGGTCCGTGGGGGGAAACCCACGCAGCATGGAGAGAACATTTAACTACACCCAGAGGCAGCAGCTCTACCAACTGCGCCACCGTGCCGCCCAAGTATTGGACTTGTGTAAAATGTGAACACAAACAGAACCCTGATGTGAAAAGAGCTCCAGATGTAAATGTTTACGAGAGCATCTGTCAAAGATGGACTCATTTTCATGCTGTCAGAAAAATTGTTGAGGACAACTGTAGTGTAGGAACTACAATGTTGTGGATGCAGGCAGGACGCAAAAGAGAAGAACAATCAGCATCAAACAACTTTTATTCAGTCACTTTTTGTTGCATTTTCATTAATAATGTTAAAATATTTTTATTTTATTTGGCAACAAGCTGGAAAATCTCCCCTCGTATTTCACACACGTTCATTTAAATTTGCCTTTTGTTTGATACTCAGATTTTTTTATTACTATTTCAGGCCCTTCAGCCTGAGAGCTTCAGCTGACAAACGCAGGATATATTAAATGCAGAGAATCTTCATTTTTGCCGGACTGCCAACGGGTCGGTTCAGTCGCTTACAGAAAAGGAGACGAGTGAATTTTCATGCGTTATGAAGGCGTTCAATGATAAACATTTAAAGGGACAAAAAACTAAACATGTAAACCAAACAGCGCTCCCTCGCCTGAAATGTTTGGGACTGTTCCACCTCAAACTTGTTCATTTTCCTTCATCTGGTTTATTCTGAAGCCCAACTTAATAATAATTACAGCGTGCAGACTTTATCTAATCTGCCTTCTGCTCAGTGATAAATGTGCCACGTGGCTTTAAATTGCACTTTTCTGATGTTAGCGCCTTGCAGATTTTAATCAAGTGCAACAAAGTATTTGAAAGGTCTTCAAACACGCAGGGTGTGCTGGGCAGCGCGGGGTCCAGCTGACAGTTCAGATCATGCTCGGGGCTGCGCTGTACAGGAGGATGTCTCCGTCCACTCGCAGTAAGGTCACTTCCTCCAGGCCTCCGACTCTGTGCTCGTACTCCAGCAGGTGGGTGCCGTCCACAGCCACCTTAAACATGTCCTCCTCCACGAGGATCTTCAGCTGAGGGAACAGCAACACAGACAGTTGGTGGACACAAACACTTTGCAAAACCTGCACCAAATAACTCTCAGTGAAGTTCTCTAACCTGATCTTTGAGGAACACATCCTGCATGTTTCAGTTGTTTCCCTGCTCAGACACACCTGATTCAGTGACTTAATCACTTCATCAAAATTCTGCAGAAGCATGTTAATCACTCGTTCATTCAAATCAGGTGTGTCGAAGCAGAGAAACAACTAAAACATACATGGTGTTCCTCAAGGACTAGGGTTGGGGACCAAACGTGTACGTTCTGCTCATTTGCCGTTTTCATTCTCAATATTTCAGCCCATTTAAACACTAGTTGTATGAAATTGTCCAGGATTTGTTTTTTATTATTCTTTCTATATTGCAACAGCCGCACAATGCAAACACTCTGCACCTTCGGGCCCGTTTTGATCCCAATGACTCCAGTTATAACCAGTAACAGAAAATATTTCTATTAACCATTTTAGGAAGGAGGTTTGGGTCCTAAAGGCTTTTAAGTGTTTAGTCACTTTAAAGGTGCCGATATCATCTTCCACCTTCCTACCAGAATTTCAGACTAAAAACAGCTGAAGTTCCCGCTGCACATGGCAACATCTCTCTGGCCAGATGTGACTGTTGCCTCTGAGGCTTCCAAACACCTGATCGTGCTGGAACTCAGAGCCCTGAGGAGAACGGGTCGAGGAAATGTTCAAAGTACCAGGAAATAGTGGAGTGTCGGGGCAGGAGGACATTCTACGAGTAAGACGGGGAGGCTTTGCAGGAAGCTCACTCTGTAAAGTCCTCGGCTGTTAGGGCGTTACTGGGGCGGCTAAGAAGAAAGCCATTCAGGGCCTGACCAGCCCTGGATGGGTCGCCTGGACGACGGTGTCTGATGTGAGACCCGTTGACCTCGGGATACGTCACCGATGATGCATCGCAGTGCACCTGACGGATGTTTCTTCCACAGCTCAGACTAAAAACGTTGAGGAGTACCAGCTGCAGCTGGACCTCTAACAGAACATTATGTGTGATCTCATGAGATAAAGAGTTTGTGTTGGGCAAGAACCTCAGCTGCAACCAGGTTTAGCACTGAGGTACAGCCATTTTTATGTTTTCTACAGCCATCTTAAGATTTCCACCTCTGTCTTTTATCTTATTCATTGTTGGGCTGCAGAGGCAACAGTTCCAGCAGGAAACCCAGACCTCCACCTCCTCCTGGGGGACCTGGAGGTGTTCCCAGGTCAGAGAAGATGCACAGTTCCACGAGAGTTCTGAGTCTGTCCTGGGGCCTCAACAAGGAGGCGTCTAAATCAGAAGGACCACCTCAGCTGACACGTTTGACGCTGAGCGGCAGCTCTACTCCGAGCTCCCCTGGATGAAGGTGGAAGGTTTGAATTTCACGTTATTTGACAATCCGACATGAATTTAAACGTTGTGGCTCTGAGCAGAATGACGACACAAACTCAAACGTTACGGTCTGATTTTAACGTCTGGCACAGCCTTCACATGCAAGCTGAAAAACTTTAAGCTGCTGTAACAGATCACACTCTCAGACCGGAGCTGATGTGTTCGACATAACGGCACTTCGTCTATCTACCCAGCAGTCACTAATGGTGTGCCACAAGGCTCAGTTTTAGGACCCAATCTTTTTACAATTCATAAGTAATGTAGGTCAAAACATTCCTGACGTGTCCTTGCATTTCTATGCTGACGACACAATTGTCTGTACATTACATGTTGTCTTTCTAAAACAGGTCTCTCGTAAGTAAATGAGTCCTTGTGACTCACTGAGACTAACCTGTATGAAGAAAGGTTCACCGTGTAAACAAATTACTTTAAGAATATAGGAAAACAAGGTTTTCAAAGTTTTGCCTTTCTTAAAGCTATTCTGGCACGAACAAATAAATGTTTTACCTCAAAACGGCATCCTTCAACAAAGGGGAAGGGTCCTTCACGTTCCTCTGGGCCCCAGTAACCTCCGAGGTTGGAGTTTCTGACGATGGTACGCTCCATGAACCGAGGGTTGAGGTGAAAGACGACGTCCGAACCTTTGATGAAATCAACTTTGAACCTAAAACAGACGTCACATTGACACAAAAAATAAAGCTAGTTTGTTTACAACTTATTTTCTAAACTAGCTGACAAGAGCAATAATGTCTCCATGTGTGTTTGTCCTTACCGTTAGCAAAATATCTCATAGCACATAAATTTCAATTAAACTTTCAGAAGTATCACTGGATGAGCACCTACAGCTCATTGTCATTTCAAGTTAGCCCAATTCAAGATGGCCGCCACAGCTAAGTGACCTTGGAAAACACAAAAATGTCTGTTGCAGATACTGCGCTGCAGTTTGGTGTGGTAGTAGCCGAGAGTCACACATTCTGCAACGTCAAGCTCAAAACTTAACTCGTAAAAGATTTATCTTGAGAAGAGATTTAATTTTAATTTGCTTCGCTAACAGATGCTGGCAGATGTTTGACTTCAGTTCCAGATGTTTTTCTTATTCTTCTGGAAACTCGTACCTGTCTGCACCAGGAAGAGGCTCTCCGATTATCGTGATCACAAGTTTTGGCAAAATCCCGGCATGAAGGTGGAGATCGTACGGCAGCATCTGCAATTTGCAGCACAAACCAGGACAGCGCAGCGCCTTTGACGTCACGTACATTTATGCTTTTATTCTGCCTTACACAGAAAACATGAGGAATACGGTGCGAGGCAACATGCAGATCTGTTTACATTTGATTATTAATACTCTTAACTCGGCAGCATACAGCAAGGAGCTTAAAGGAAGAGTCTGGTCATTTTTGAAGGGATGTTCCGTCAAATTAAAAGTCGTCAGCTGTGACGACACCCAAACGTTACGATTGGTGCGCGTCGTGCTGCAGAATGGATCAGCTGACTGGGAGGAAATGGAACGATTAATCGGCCACTTCTATAAAACATCGTCCCACATGTCGGGGTCTTAGAAGAGGCTCTTTTGTTATTAACAAGTTCCTCTCAGGCTGTTAAATATGTTTTTAAGTTATGAATTATTCATGTTATTTTCTTCACCCTCTGTTCTGTTCAGGACTGCAGGGAGCTGGTGTCTCCAGCCGTCTCTGAGAGGGGCGGGGGACACTCTGGACATGTCTCCTGTCCATCATATACAGATAAACAAGTCAAACAACAATCCACACTCTCACACCCAGAGACAACTTGGACTCTGTGAACCCAAGAGGTATGTTTTTGGTCTGCGGGAGAAAACCCTGCTCTACTGCGCTGCAAGACGAGTCAGAATGAGGCACAGCACAGCAAACACGACAAGATTTATTTTTATCATAATTGAGATTTGGATAAAAATTAGTCCATCAAGACACTATCACATTAACTAAACTACCACATAACCTTCCTGATTTACCTTGAAATCAAAAAGTTTTCTAACTGGTATGTCTTCAGATAATAATCTCCGCCCCCAACCCTTTTAATTTCCTTTGAAACGAGAATTTCTTCTGTCAGGAAATCCCTTCATATAATGTGCAGAGTCATTGTAAAGCTTGGGGATAAGACTGGAACTCCTGATGACGTCACAAAATGGAGCTTTTACTCCTGTAAATAAAACTAGCTTGTAGCCAATAAATCACCGAATATCAACAAACTACAAATCATTTTGAAGCTTCTGAGGAGACGTAGAAATTAATAATATGGAAAATGTTCCTCATTGCGACTCATTTTGCTGTAACGCGTTACAGTTTGGCCACAAAGATAAAACGGGCGTTGTTGTCGTCGACCTCTAGGCGTGAAGTGGATAAACTTCGTTCGCCCCTCAGTGTCTGTGCTCAAACTACAAAACACACGCGCATCGCAAAAAATTAGAACATGGTGAAAAAGTTCAATAATTTTTGTCAATCATTTCAGTCAAACTCATAACAGTGAAATATTTCAGATTTCTTGTAATTTTTATGATAAAAATACAAATAATGAAAAATAAATTCAGTGTCTCAGAATATTTAAATATAGTGAAGAGGTTGAATATTGTAAACTCCAGGTGTCACAGCCTGATGATCTCCTGGACACGAGCTACAAATGTCTCATTCCTCAAGTCCAGGCACTCCTGAACCAGAGACATCAGAAGTGTCTTACCTGCTGAGGACACGAAGACCTGGACTGTCTCAGTGGTCCAATGTCCTTTTTCTACATGAAAGAGTTATAACTCAAGGTCTCAGAGTCTGGAGGAAGTGGAGAGGTCCAGAATCCACATTGTTGAAGTCCAGAGTGAAGTTTCCACAGTCAGGGATGGTTTGGGTCCATGTCCTCTACTGGTTCTGGTCCACTGGGTGTTCTGAAGTCCACGCAGCATCTAGCAGGACACTTTAGAGACTTCCTGATTCCTTCTGCTGACGAGCTTCATGGAGACGCTGGTTTCATTTTCCAGCAGGACTCGGCACTGGCCCACACCGACACCAGAAGCTGGTTCTGGAATATTCTAATCACCGAGTTTATTTTTCATTATTTGTAAGTTATCTTCTTCTTCTTTCAGCTTTTCCCTCTTCAGGGGTCGCCACACAGTTATAATCATCAAAATTACAAGAAATAAAGGCTTGAAATGTTTCACTCGGTGTGAAATCAATCTTTAAGATCCGACTTTGATTTTCTGAAATGACTGACAAAAAAATAAATAAATAAATAACTTTTTGAAGATATTAAATTTTTCTAGATGCAGCTGTAAACTAACGGTGTCGTACAAAAGCTTTTTTTTAAGCCTGAAAAATGATTCAAAAACAGAAAAAAAGGCCCTCAAATTAGATTAGCCTGGATGGAAACTTTTGCCCCTTGCTTCATGCTCCAATTCTACTGATAAAGATTAAAGAGAACATGACTTCAAAAATGACCAAACTGTCACTTTAACATCATAATCCAGTTAACCTTTAATCAAAACTTTGACTCCGCCCACATTCTTACAGAGGTGACTCGTCATGTACTTCAGATCAGAGTCCTGGTGACTAACCAGGGCAATGAAAGAAAATAATCAGTTCAGTTTTTACATTTCGAGCAGCACAAACAGACATCAGAGCAACGTGACATGACACCAAGAGCCTTAATAAGATCCATGTGACAAGTCGGAGCTCAATCTTAGCTGCAATCATAGAAAATATGTGAAGAGAAAACAAACTTGTTCTGTAAATTACATCACATTGCACTTAAAAAATTACACCCAGTGGATTTAGCAAGACTTGTGAGCATGTGCAGGTGTGTCAAATCAAATCTATGTTCAGTTTCTGGCACTAATCAAACCAGGTGCTGCTGCTGGAAGTGATGTCCAGTCCAAGTGAAAAGTTGAGCTTTCAATAAAATGGTGGATTATATCTGGGCTGAAAGACAAGAATAGATTTTCATTGATTGCTTCTGAACAGATATTACTGAGGTTTGATATTTGCATTGTACCCCAGCTGAAGCCAAGAGAAGAGAAAGAAAACGGATCACCGCCCTCACTTACATCCAGAAAGGAGACCTCTGTGTACCAGAACCTGAGTCCAAAGACCACACCAAGCTGACACCAGACCAGAAACACACCAGAGAGGAAACAGCATGCAGGCAACATGATAAGGACGTGAAGTACTCACCAATGTGCCTCCTGGTCCAGCCGGCCCCCCATATGGACCCATAGGTCCGGGACCAGAAGCAAAGGGGCCAGGAGCAGGAGGGAATCCTCCTCCAGCAGGTCCCCATGATCCAGATGGCATTGGGGGAAACCCACCAGCGGGGAATGTTGGAAAAGAGCCAGGATTAGCTGGAGGTGGGAATGCTCCAGGACCTCCTGGTCCGTACATCCCATTTCCTCCTGGTGGCTGACCACCAGGGAAAGACACGTTCGGATAAGGTCCTGGAGGAGCTCCAGGGCCAGAAGGAAAGGGACCAGCTGGGTAGGGAGCAGGACCTCCAGGCAGCTGTCCCGGAGCTCCTTCAGGTGGATACTGCCCGGGGAACTGTCCGGGTGCTCCAGGACTGGAGGGAAATTGACCTGGAGCTCCTGGTACAGGTGGATACTGTCCAGGTATTCCAGGACCAGCAGGGAACCCACCAGGTGCTGAAGGAGGTCCTGGATATTGCCCTGGTGCTCCTGGACCAGAGGGGTATGAAAACGGCCCAGGTGCCCCGGGGCCAGACAATCCACTGCTGAAGTCAGCTGGTGCTGATGGCTGAGTGGGAGCTCCAGGGGCTGAACCGGGCCATCCCGGGTTTGAAGGATGTGGAGGGTTGCTGGCTGGCACAGAAGGATTAGTGTAGCCTATTTTCTTAGCTTGGCTCGGCGTGTCGTCTCCTAAAGCGTCAGACAGCTGCAGGACAAAGGACAACACATCAGTTTAACTACGAGCTGTCAGCCGCTCAAACAGCAGGAAACATCAGCAATGCTTTAAACTTACCGAAAAATCTGCCATGATCTGCAACGAGAGAACAAAACTGGTGTCACTGTTACTGAAGATTCATCACCTGCTGCCAAAGTCTGTCCGACTGACATTGAACAGCACTAAAACGGCTATGGTGTGGTAGTAGCTGAGAGTCATCCTCAGACTGTGCGCGACATCTCGCGATATATCGCGAGATTACACGATATTTAACCAAGTTGGACCCAAACAGCTACAACTTTCTCAGCTTGGGTGATCTTGGTTTAAAAGTCCCGACAAAACAGACTGCGGGCGATATGCATTAACGAAATGATGGGCCTTTAATTCTAATAACAGACTTTGGTTTAGCAAACTGTCGGATCACTGCGGTCAGAGCTGAGTAATGTTTCCATGCGGTGATTCACAAAACCCGAGCCGACCGACTGAACACAACAACATTGAAATATCGACAAAGACATCACAAGGACTTCCGCAGCATAAAAGCAGGGAAATGTGTCCAAAAATGTCCAAACAAGACATGTTCGACTTGGCTACTCTAGCTAGCTAGCACTAGCTATCTGTTAGTTTACGTTTGTTTAGCCTCGATTCACGGCGAGTAAAAACAGAAATAAAACGCTAAAGAGACGGTTTCTATCGTACCTGGTCAGAAGCGGGACTAGCTTAATGGCAGCGGCTACAGGCGATGATTTCTCCGGCTGTAGAAACGAGTAAACCAGCTTGTTTAAGCTGTGAGTTCACACAACCATAACTCCTGAAGAGGAAGAAAAAAGTGCACGCCTAAGTCACTCATGACGTCAGAGATGGGCGCGTTCCGCTGCGTGCGCACTCCGACGCCTAACTTGCTAACTACAGAAGAGCTAAAATTAGCATAAAACAAGCTAAAGTTTACGAAGAGAAAAATCTAATCAAAGGCTAAAATTAGCAAGACATTAGCTGAGATCCAAAATCAGCATAATGCTAATTAAAAGCTAAAAGCAGCAAAAATACAAACTAAGATTAATCACACACTACCTTAATTCGTGCAACCTTTATTTATACAGGTTAATCCCATTGAGCCTGGAGGACTCATTTACAAGAGAGACCTGATTACAACAAAGAATTATGACAGTTATGGACAATCATAAAAGAGGCATACAGATTTTTTTTTATTTTTAACAAATTAAAATAAGATGGCAAAAATAGCTAGATCATAAAGCGAATGTAGAAAACTGAAAACAGGAACATGTCTGGCTAAGGCTAGCTAAAATAAAAACAAAACTATCTAAAAGCCAGAAGGAGCATCATGGGCAAAACAAAAAAGAATAAAAACTGTAGCTGGAAGTTAAATGTAGCACAAACAACTAGCTAAAAGTAGAAAAAAGCTAGCTTAATGAAACAAAACTTGAACTAAAAGCCAAAATTTGGTGGGTATTTTTGGGTGTACTGTAACTGGGACCCTGAGTACACAGTTTCATTCCGCCTCATGTATCACATGTGATGCGAATGACAAAGATACTTGAACTTGAAAATTATCAATATGAGCAAAACAAAAAGTATCAAAAGGATAACAAAAAAGGTTGAATCATGTCATCTGGACTTCGTTTTTTTTTTTGTTAAAAAGAAACGTTTCGCCCCTCATCCAAGAGGCTTCGTCAGTCTGAGGCCTAGCCATCTGGTATTACCCAGAAGCCACCCTGACTCTTGTGTTTCAAGCCTGCCTCAGATACCCCTGAAGTCTGGCCTTTTCACTAATGGTTTAAAAAACACAAAGTTTGTTTTCTCAGTCATCCAGGTATATAACAACAAAAAAGGTTGAATCATGTCATCTGGACTTCGTTTTTTTTGTTAAAAAGAAACGTTTCGCCCCTCATCTGGTAACCTTTTTTGTTGTTATATACCTGGATGACTGAGAAAACAAACTTTGTGTTTTATCAAAAGGATAGTTAAAAGATAAATGTAGCAAAAAAGACTGGCCAAAAGAATCAAACACTAGCTAAATGCTAAATCATGTAGCAAAAAGCTAGTTAACAGCTTAAAATAAAGCAAAACATATGGTGGCCCTGAGGTAAACACACTGTCTATTGTTGTTGTTATTGGATGTACAATGTTATTGTATGGGACCCTGTGTACACAATTTCGTTCTACCACATGTACCACATGTGGTGTGAATGACGAATAAAGAAACTCTGACTCTCTACAATTGTATTATTTTTTGTTATTGTTGTCTGTACCTCATCTGTGTTCTTTGTTTAAAACAGGTAGCTCTTGTAAGAGTCCTCGGGGCTCACTGAGACTAACCTGTATAAATAAAGGTTGAATGAAACAAAAAAACACTGCCTAAATTTAAGCAGTGTTTTTTTTTTTTTTCATTTTTCTAGTGCTAACAGCTAAATGTAGCAAAATACTAGCTAAAAGTAGCAAAAATCTGGCTAAAAGTATTAGAAAGAGAGATAACAATAACCAAAGGCTAGTTAAAAGCTAAATATAAAAAAATGGCCATCATTAGTAAGTTTAGCCAAAAATAACAAATAGCTACTTGGCTAAATATTGTAAATTAAAGGCTAGCTAAAAGCAAACAGATAGCTATATGCTTAAAAAGAGCAAACTGCTAGCCAAAAGTATAAAAAGGCAAACTAAAAGCTGCTAAATTCTTCATCAGCATTTACTCAATTTTTCTAACCAAAGTATAAACTTGTAAAAAAGTATGTTTGAAAAACCACTTGTTGACACTAAATATTTTAAACTGATTAACATTATAAAACTAAGTGTTTCTGACACTATAATTTATATGTACATTTAAATTGCTCCACAGATTTTCGTGTTTCGAGGAGGAGGCGCCTGCTCAGGGTTGGACAAACCAGTCAGATGATGTGCAGCAAAGAAGACAAACCCTCAGCCTTTCTGCCGTTCACATCAGCAGCTGAAGCTTCAGGGCGATCTTAATTCGACAGCCATGGTAAGTCAGCCCGATTCTTTCACAAACAGGTGTCACTCTTCTAGTTTCTGCGTTTCATTCGTGAGCGTCGGAGGAAATGGAAGTTTTAGGGAGTATTACAGAGAACGTGATGTCGTGTATCGTTAGCGTTAGCCTGCTAGCCTAGCAGCAGTTCCGCCCTCTGATGACGTCAAGTTGTTGACACGTAGTTCTGGTTTCCGGTAAGATATTTCAAAATAAGATAAACCCGGAAAAATTCAAAGTATTATATATAACCTGAAAGACTAAAACATCTGGAACTATATATTTTTTTATAACGAACTGATTTTATTGACTCGTTTCACGCCAATATTAAAAACAGTAAAAGCAATATTTGTATCTTTTTGCACTGCACATGAATGCATGCATGCTCAATAATCCAAGTAGATGAATCTAACATGGTTGAGTTAGATCCTCTGGATGGATTCTTCTTTGTAGAAACGTTTTGCCTTTAATCCAAACGACTTCTTCAGTCTGAGGCGCTGCAAAGTAAAGATCCAGGGAGTTTTCATTCATTCAACCTTTATTTAAACAGGTTAGTCTCATTGAGGACTCATTTTCAGGAGTAGTTGCAAGAAATAGTTGATAAGAGTGCCTGAAACCTTTGGATCAGGACAAGGCTTTTGACCATATTCTGTACCACAGAGGAGAGGCCACTCCTAGTCTGTATGGTTTACCCAAAATTCACAAACAAAGTGTAACTTTAAGATGGATTGTTAGCATGATTAACTCTGTCACTTATAACGTTTCCACTTATCTGGCATAGAATGCCAGAAAGCCAGGCAGAAGATGAAATCCTACACAAGACAGGCCCTGGAGCAATGTGGATATCCTAACTGGGCCTTCCTGAAAGCAGAGAAGAAACCCAAACAGGACTCCAGCCAGCCATCAGGTGAAAAGGAGGAATCCTAACCAGTGGTCATTTCGTATGTTGCAGGAGTTTCAGAAAAACTGAGATGTTCATTTTCTAAACACAACATCCCAGTGGCTTTTAAACTCCAAAATACATTACAGCAAAACTTGTCCATCCAAAAGATCCAGGCCCTCGGCACAGAGTAATGTTGTGTATGCTGTTCAGTGTCAGGAGGGTGATCAGTCTTACATCTGGGAAACTAAACAGCCACTGGCCAAAAGGATGGACCATCACAGAAGATCAACATCATCAGGCCAGGTATCTGCGGTCTACATTCATCTCCAGGCCAGCGGTCACTCTTTCAGGGATGAAGATGTTCACATCCTGGATGGAGAGAAACAATGGTTTGAGAGTGGAGTAAAGGAGGCCATCTTTGTGAAGAGAAACCGTCCATCATTAAACAGGCGCAGAGATGTCTGTGTCCAACTGTCCCCCCCTGTTATTGCTAGCCCTCTGTGAATAGCAAGCAGCCATCAGGGCACTAACGATCAGTTGTTAGGCTGATGGTCCTCATTTATCATGTGAACAGCTGGTTCTGGATGCCACCAGCAAACTGGTTGATCCACTATGAAAATATGCTATTTATGAGACTGAGTTTGTTGCAGCTCCAGACTGAAGAAGTCTTTTGGATAAAAGACAAAACGTTTCTACAAGAGTTTATTTTTTGAATCTGTCCGGAGGACCTAACTTAACTTTATTAGTTTTTTCTACCTGGATTATTGAGCATTCATCAGGAAATTTTAAGAACGGTTGTGACTAAAGCAGCTTTTATTTTGAAGTGTTCGGTTTGGTATTTCCTGTTCAGTCCTGGGTTTTAACTCGTCTGGTCTAAAGACTCGCTCTGCTGCTGAAACACAGACAGACGGTGTTTTTGTGTCTGTTAGCAAAATGTCTCGTGAACGACTTGATGGACTTCAATGAAACCTTCAGAAATCAATGGATGTGCATCTAGAACAGATTAGCTGAGACTAAACCCGATTCAAGATGTCCGCCAAAGATTATCGACCCTAGCAAACAGAAAACAGGTGTCACTTCTTTACAGACACAGAGAAAGTTTGGTGCGGTAGTAGCTGAGAGTTGTTCCCAACACATACTCCAAGGTCTTACCGATACCGTAAGAACTTTAAAACGTTGTCCTTATCTATTAGGGTCAACTGTGTTTGTCTGTTAGCAAAATATTGCATAAACTACTGGACTGATTTTAATGAAACTATCAGAAAGCGGTCCTTGGATTTACGTCTGTGAATGTTTAACTTTTGGGTCACCCTCCATTTAAGATGTCTGCTGTAGCCAACTGAATCTGGCAAACATTAATCTGGCTATAGCTCAGTCACATTTACAGATTTTGAGCTAAATTGTGGCGTGGTAGTAGATGATCATCATCTTCAACATATACGCTGACAGATTTTGTGAGATTTTACAATGTGAATAACATCGTTTACAAAGATAATGCTGCCATTTCTCACCCCAAGACGATTCTTGTTTAAAACTCTAGCACGGAAGTCAGCGGGCGGTAATTCTAATCTGTAAAGATGTCCTTAAAGCTCAGCTAATCCTGACTCCCACCAGCCGTTTGTTCAGTTGAAGCTGTTAGCGCCTGCAGAGACTCTTCAGAGATGTTGTGGTTTTGTGAAGGAATTGTGTAACCGTATACGGGCGTGTCAGAGGTCCAGAACCGTAAACTCCTGCTCAGACTGGAGTGTCCTTGTTCCCTCTCTGGATCCGGTCCTCCGGGTCAGACAGAAGTCCTCCAGAATCGAGGGTTGGGACAGTCTGCCACCCTGGTGATGTATAAAAACTCAGATTATTTTGGCTCCATGTGAGGAAGCTTCTGCACGCGGATTAGGACGAAGTCACAACCAGAGTGCAGACAAAACACCAGGAATGTGAGCAGACTTAACGATTTAGTCCTTTTGTCAGATTAACGTGCAAACGGTGTTGAGTTTAATGCTTTGCTGAAAGTTTGCTACGTGGGCACAGGTCAGAAGGAGACACTTCCTGTTGCAGCGTGTCGTGTGAAACGAAGGAGGAAAAAACCTCAGATTTTTGCTACAGCAGAGCAGAAGTCCACTTGGCTGAACGAGAATCAGACGGTGTCTCTGTCACAGAGCTGTGCTTTTGTCTGACCCTCCTGATGGTTCTCTCCTGTTTCGGATCAGAGCGAGTCCCTGGTCGTGTGCGACGTGGACGAAGGTCTGGTGAAAAAGCTGAGGGAGTTCCGTTTTCGAAAGGCGACCAACAACGCGGCCATCATCAGTGAGTCACCGTTTTCTTCTCCGACGTCTTTATTGATGACACGTTGACTAAATATTCCTGGGTTAACTCAAACAACCTGCTCGCCTCTGGTACCACTTACTGAGGATTAAAGACCGCCTCATCCCAAATCTCAGTTCAGTATTAGTTTATTTAAACTTTTTTTTTTAACAGGTGAGTCTCGTTGAGGTTACAACAGCACCAGCTCCAGAAACACACAAGCCACTTAAAAACACATAAAAGTGCATAAATAACTCCGTAAACATCATCACCCTACAGGAAACGTGACGAGCAGCTTGTTAGACTTTTAAAAGCACTGACTGAGTTCAACTCTTGAAGGCGATTCCACGCTGCAGAAAACATAACAGCCAAGTTGTGTTTGGACCTTGGGAACAATCAATAAAACACTATTACTGTATTTTTCAGCCTATAAGTCACATTTTTTTTCATAATTCACATGCCCTGTGACTTATAGGCCGAAGCGACATATTTATGGATTTTTTCCCGTATTTATAAACCATTTTTTGGCAGCGATATGACTCTTTTTCATTCGTTCTGACTGGGGAAAAAACATTGAGCAGTACCACTTTCAGCCACTAGATGGCAGCAGAGTAGTAATAGTTGTATGGCATGCTGTTGTAACATGTATTAGGTGACAAATTCAAAAAAGTTCAAGGCATAAACAACTGGACTTTATTATACTTTATGCTTTATTGTTTTTGTCTTGAACTTTTTAGAATTTACCATGTGTCCTGGATGACTGAGAATCTTCACCAGCTATTAATGTCTCAATCGGCCTGCCATTGCCTCCCCACCTTCATTCTGCTCGCTTCTAGCTGCACCGCCCCGGTGAAATTCAGTTAATTTGACCATTAAAGTGCATTTATTACGCAAACTGAGACACACATTTACTATAATTTGGAGCAAATAAATGGTTGTTTTTATGTGTTAATCTTGTTAAATTCTTGATAAAGTCCTCCCGTGCACGCTCCCACGGCCGCCATTTGGCAGCCCATCGATTTTTGGCACACCACCGGCCCACGTTTCCGGGTTGTCAGCGCTGGACAGAAGGTCACCATAGTCCAGCAGAGGTATCAGCTTTCTCCACCAGATATTACAGAGCAATAAATTCATTCCTGTTGAAATTTAAACAGTTTTAACAAAATAACAATTTATTCACCTTTTTTAACGACCTCCAGTCCACACAGCCTGTACTAATACTTAGTGCTTAGCATTAGCATTAGCTTGTCTTGTACCTGGGCTGAGAGTTCAGCTCGGCCTTCTCTAAATGCGGCGTGCCTGCCTCCGTTATCTGCCGTCTTTTGCAACAGCCGTGTGGACAAGTCTCAGCAGGAATGCAAAGATGTGTTGGTGAATGCAGCATGCCGTTCCACTTCAGGGAACTGCTTTGCTGCCAAAGATTGATGTGGATTTAAAATCAAAACTTGGTTATGGCTGTTGTCATTCATTTTCTCATGCTGTAAATGTTTCCATTAAGCCTGCTGAGTGAGTGCCATCACTTGGCATGTACACTCAGCAATGTTTAAAAGTGCTGAATGTTCGTCTGTCCTGATGCATTCTGGGTAAAAATATTATATAATAAAGGAAGAATATGTCTATTATTAGACAAGAATGCGTGTCTGTGCCTCGCAGGCAGGTCGAGTTGGTCCAAACGCAGCAGGTGGTGTGGCAGAGGAGGGACTTGTTGGGTAGATCTCATGGCATTAAAAAGTAGACGTCAGCCGATCGTCCGTCTATGAATTTAGTCTCTTGATTGACAGACGGGGCAGCCGGTCTGAGGCCCCGCTTACATGAGGTGAAACGTTCGGCCGTTCATTTACAGGCAACAGCCTCGCGCTCTCTGAAACCGAAGGTTTTTGAATCCAGGTCTCAAGAGTGGAGGTTTTCAGGGGAACCCCCCACAGAGGAGTGAATTACTCCAAGTGTGAAGTGGCACATGTGCACTCCAGGCGGCTGCAGTCCAAAGTTTTTCTGCTCTAACAACAATTATAATAAATAACAACAGTTATAATAAATAACAGTTATAATAAATATAACAACACTTATAATAAATAACAACAGTTATAATAAATAACAGTTATAATAAATAACAGTTATAATAAATAACAACAGTTATAATAAATAAAAACAGTTATAATAAATAACAGTTATAATAAATATAACAACACTTATAATAAATAACAGTTATAATAAATAACAACAGTTATAATAAATAACAACAGTTATAATAAATAACAACAGTTATAATAAATATAACAACACTTATAATAAATAACAGTTATAATAAATAACAGTTATAATAAATAACAGTTATAATAAATATAAGAACAGTTATAATAAATAACAGTTATAATAAATATAACAACACTTATAATAAATAACAGTTAAAATAAATAACAGTTATAATAAATATAACAACAGTTATAATAAATAACAGTTATAATAAATATAACAACAGTTATACTAAATAACAACAGTTGTAATAAATAACAACAGTTATAATAAATAACAACAGTTATAATAAATATAACAACACTTATAATAAATAACAACAGTTATAATAAATAACAACAGTTATAATAAATATAACAACACTTATAATAAATAACAGTTATAATAAATAACAGTTATAATAAATAACAGTTATAATAAATATAACAACAGTTATATTAAATATAACAACACTTATAATAAATAACAGTTAAAATAAATAACAGTTATAATAAATATAACAACAGTTATAATAAATAACAGTTATAATAAATATAACAACACTTATAATAAA